TTTTATTTATTTAAAGATTTGAATTACGTCGCTAAAACTCCTTGAAAAGGTCCTCTTCCTTTTCTCCAAGGCACACGATAAGGCAGCGGATGGTTATAGTTCTCTGCGTACTTCAATTGTATTGTGCTATTTTTGAAAAAGGAAAAAAAGAGAAATTACCTAAATTAAAATATTCTGAATGGGTGACTGCCAACAACTTGCATTTCAATGACAACTCTAAATAACGATCCTACCTCAAGAAGCATGTCCTTGATCTGCTTCACCGACATTCATTTTTAATAAAAAGCGATATCACAATAGTAACCAAAGTATTTTTACTCTCACAGTGGCCTCTACTACTTTGTATCCTCTAACATAACATTTCACAGTTCAAAGGCTGCTAATTTTGGTCGAACAGCAATTTGCCTATACAGTGCAACTACAAGGCTATCTATCAAAAGATGACACTCACCTTAAAATGTCCTTTGTATATTTCTATTTGTCTTAACTGTCGGTACTTGTCCAGGCATGTTAAGTGGGAGTGGACTTGAAATCCTTAACTCAAGGTGTAGAACAATTAAGTTATCAAGCCAATTGCATTACTTGAACTTGAATTGAATTTTAAGTCAATTAACGCAGAAATCAGAGTTCAAATTACACACAATATTAAGTTGATGTAATTACCAACATTATTACGTCAACACAACTTATAAATTAATGTTTGCAACTTCAAATGTTTATCTGAATCGATTAACTCACATTTTTATCTTGCAACCATGCATTTCATTAAGTGGAGGTGAAAGGTCGCCTGAATTCGTTTTTAGAGTGTACATGCACTCCCTTAGGATAGGGTGAGGGAAAAGAGTAGGAACTAAGATGTATGCGCCACATCTATACCATGAGCGCATTGCTCCTAAAAAGTTGTTTGGCACTGACACAAATCATCAGTTGTGCTTCGACTCGGCAGGGATCAAGGCACGTGTATGCCTCTCCTTGCTTCCACCGTCTACACACACAACCAAATTACATTTATACCATTAGTGAGGGAAAAGAGTAAGAACTAAGATGTATGGGTGAAGAGGCACAACGTATCCACATCAATGCACTCTTATTCGATTATTTTATCAACTATAAGTTTTATCAAAAAGGAAGGTCTTAACCGTACTCTTAAAAACGGATAGGCTGGCTGCCGCCCGAATACAAACTGAAAGCTGATTCCACAAATTTGGAGCTTGATAAGAAAAGGCTCTGGCTCCCATTGTACTTTTAGAGACTCTAGGAACAACCAACAACCCTGCATTCTTGGAACGCAATGCCCTAGTNTTACTACTGAGTGCTATGGGAATAGAAGGCTCAATAGAGCTGTGGCTCTCTGTCAGCCTGGAAGTGCTGAAAATGTGCTTCTGTGCTGAAAATAAATCTTGCATTATTCTTATTCTCATCTATTAATGAAGAGTAGTAGGCTGCTCTCGAGAAGAAGAATTTTAAATTCTATCCTGTGTTCTATAGGGAGCCAGTGTAAGGCAGCCAGAACAGGAGTAATGTGGTCCCAACACGGCACCCAGACCCCACGCAGCATTCTCATCTATTTGTCATTGCTGGTGTCATGTTCTGGTTGCTAACGCCATTGTAACAAGTAATCACTGATGAACCGCTGTAACGGTGGTGCGGGGGGGGGGCAGGAGCTCCAACAAGCCGTTTAGGACAGAGAGTGAATACACATACTATACAGAGAGGATGTATGAGAAACCAATGTGAGTTTGGAAAATTGCACAATGTAAATCTATTCTAGTAGACCTCAATAACAATCTAATTATGATCATAAGAAATTGCCTTTAAATTTGGCTATAGCACTAACAGATTTCTGCTGCAGGAACTTTTGACTAATGGTTTGTAGTCTAGTAACAGTAATTCAAAAGTTACAAAAAAATGGTCGGATAAAGCAGGATTATGCGGTTCGACTAATAGTTGCTCAATTTCAATACCATAAGTCAGAACAAGGTAGAGAGTGATTATAACAGTGATTGTGGGGGCTGCAACAGTTGCAGTTAGTTCAGCTCTCTGGTCTGCAAGAGAAGTTTCATTGAGGTTTTATGTCAGATAATTCAGGGCAATAAATATAAAATTCACAACATGAAGTCAACATATTCTTTATCCAGCGCTATCTGGAATACCTGGAATAATGGAATAATGTTGGAATAATGTTAACAAACTCACTGCATTTATTCATGGCACCGTCTAATGTTCCATCCAAATCTGTGTGCTGGTTAGTATTCATCTCTCTCCATAATCTAGTCTGTTAACGTTTCTCGCTGTCTCCTCAAGCGTTTAACCTTGTCAGAGATAGGCTTGGATCCATTAAGATTTCTTGAAAGGGTTGAGCATTACGGGGCTCATTTAGAATGACTTCCATTTTTAATAAACCGCAGATCAGATACCGAGGAGGTGCACTTAACAATGCCGAAGAGATATGCCTCATAATTTATATTATACAAAAGCTAAGGAAAATCATATAGTGATTTCTACCCTCTTTCATTGTGGGAGCTCTTTTCATGCCACGCGCTCTTAGTTTGACGTATTCGACAAATATAAAAGCTGCCTCGTCATCCTTTCATGATTGCCCCGCTGAAGGTATTTTTTTTTATATGCTGCAATAATGTTTACCTTTTTGTTAACAGACTTGGGTTATTTGTTTGTACACGGCATCACCGCTGCCAACTGAAGCTATAACAGCCTTAAAGGGCTTGTTAAAGTGGATGTTACTGTCTTGCCGGTGATTTTTTTACAACACTTATTAGACTGGTGTTTGTATCACTGCACAATCCTGCCTAAAGGTGGACATGCGCTGAAAGTTAATGATCATATCTCAGCTGAACCAGAAATGATGGGATGAGAATAAAGCGGGCAGGGTTAACAGACAGTGAGAGGGGTGATGGGTGCCAGAGGGCAGGGTGAGGTTAATGGAATTGGTGGCATAAAAAAGGGAGGCAGGGAAGGCTGTTCAAATGGTATGTGAATGGAAAATGCATTTTAAGCCGCTGAATCAATACTTAGTTTCTCTGTTCTGATTCCGTTATTCAGGGAGAGGATGGGGGCAGAGAGAAACTCAAAGTAAAGACCTTTCCATCTAATACGTGCCTCTAATACTCTCATAAGAGAAATCCCATTGTGTCGACATTGTCATATCGCTATTTGTTCCCCCTCTCTGAGCTTCAATGCTATCCTCCCAGTCATTAAAGCGAAGTATGCTGCTGGAGAAATATATATATGTCTTCATCCTCTCTGTTTCTCCAGGGTCGACCTGCATGATTAAGTGGAAGCAGCTCTGTGCACATTGCATGAGTCACTTTTCTGACATCTATCCACAGATGTTAGCTACTGCAAAATTAAAGTTGCTTGTATAAATGCCACAGAGTCAGAAGAGGACACGATAAGAAGGAGTAAGTAGACGGCAGAGGATCCTTCTGAGTCATTCATCAGAACAAGGATTGTCAGCCATCTGCACTCTGCAGCTCATGGAGCATACAAACACTCAACAATACAGAGAGAAAGAGGTTTCACTCATTAGCTGGAAATTATTATTTTACACACCGCTGGTAATTTACAAACTGTCAGTGGCAGGTGAAAAAATCTTAACTGGTTGTTTTTAATTTCCAACTTTAATTAAAGGAAGCTGCAAGCAATGAAAATGTGTTGACCCTTGGGTTAATGAAAGCTTTTCAATGCAATGACATGAACTCTAAAAATGCACAGTCATCCAGCTCAAAACTTCGAACCTGACATTAAGGAGATAATCTGACACCCATCATTTAAACAAAGCCTGCTTTTAGCATGTTTAGTGTTCCTTCTGGCTTCTTGTTCAGGCTAAATGTTCCATGCTGAAGCAGCAACAGCCACCTAAAACTGTGAAAATAGGGCAAAAAGATGACTGTGTTTTTCGACAACCTAACAATGCATATCAATGAAGTTGGAGGACTTCTGTGACAAACAGCGAAAATAAGAATGCTCAAAAGTGGTACAGTGGAGGCTGAGAAATAATAACTTGTACTTGTATAGACGAAGTTTCAAAATGGCTGTATCCAAGAAGTCCTAGAATGCAAATAAATAGTATTTTTTATCATATGCTTCCTATATGATTAATGTGTTATTTTCTTCTGATAATGTTCTCCATTCATAATACGGTTTTGGTCCAAAAGAATACATTCTCAAGCCTTAACATAACCCTGTTCCCATCATTATGACAATCAATTGGTTATTTTTCTTGAGGCTTTGGAACACCATGAGAATGCATCACAAATACCACTAGAAAACTACTTCTGAAAATATTATTAAAAATACATAACAAACATGTGTAAATGTATAGTAACCGTGTAGTACTGTCCAGTCTCCATCATAAGGCACAAGTGGAGATAGTGTCTTGATGCTTGTGCATTGACCTGTTTAATAGAGAAATCTAAGCCCACGTCTGTGTGATCCACTCTGAAGACTGATCAATAAGTAAGGTACTACAGCATGATAGTGCTACTTCAACATGTTTCCGCCTTTTGTGTGTGTGTGCTGCCGACTGAAAGAAGTGCACTCAGTTCTTGGGTTACTTCCAAGACGCACATCCTGTAATTGATGATTTTGATCAAGTGCTCCATTCAGATTTGTCTTTG